GCCTATTTGTTGAACATCATCTCAACTCACCTCATCTTCCCGACAACAACAGTTGTGACAAAGCATGATAAAGCTTATTTTTGGCTGGTTGCAACCCGTGTTTTGGTTAAATCCATTTGTGGCAGCTTGTTGACACCAAACAAAGTTGAAAACACACAAATCAAGGCCCATCAAATCAATTTGAACAACTTATTCTGTTTGTCATGGCTACCCTCCCTCAAGGGCAGTAGTGGGTATGCTTCACAAAACAATCTCTCTTCTCCAAATGTAACATAGCTTATAGATGGCCACCAAACCAGTTTTGCTGCTTGCCTTTTCAGCTGCAGCAAAGACACTCATTTATATTTTGTCATTCACATTTCATGACTTCAGGTTTGGGATGTTTACTTTACATTGTAAATAGGATGGTCTATTTGCTGAAAACTGACATCCACCTCATGATGTAACTGGTATGCAGGTTAGGGTTTTCCTGTGTTAAAAATATAGCGCATATCTGCAGTAGCCACTTGCCAGTCAGCAAACCATGACAACTATGGACAAAATCTGGTTAAAGCCAACATGAGGGGCCATTTCAACAAATTTGAGGCAAATAATCAAGAGCATGGATCAAAATAGTTCAATCACATGTCTCGTGGCATCATAATTTGCCTTATGAAGACAACTTGATGTATTAAAAAAATGACTAAATCTGGTTACAAATCATGTGCTGAAAGCAGGCAAGGTTAGCAATTAGTTACTCCACAGGAGAAACTTACGGACTTTTTAAGGGCATGCTTCTTTCCGCTATCCCACACAAAAGTCAGCATCTTTTGCATGGTTTGCTGATAGACAGGGCCATCCAACCCGACCCCAAACCATAAATATCAATCATGCCGACCAACCTACAGCATTAAAATGCAAAAAAAGTAAGAAGAGGCATGCCTGATAAAACATAATTTCACTACCAACCACTTCTGTATAAGCTCCGCCAGGTCTGTCCCGAAGTCACTACCTCGTCAGGGTACGCTAGGATAGCGTACCCTGACGAGGTAGTGAACCTAGGATTGCTTACATTTATGACTTTTAGGCACCGCCATGAACAAAAAAAAAGAAGCTAACTGAGGGTTTAACTGCGCAAAAATGACGTTAACAATAAGCCCCGTGCTTCAGATTGTCTCCTTCCCTCCCTATGAATTGTTCACTCTTCGGGGAGTATCAAACATGTTTTGGGGCTGGCAAAGGAATCCAATTTATGTATGAAATATGTGCAAGTTTGCAGTTGGAACATTTTGCAGAGAAATTGATCAACATTTTAAGCCATAGATGGTATCTTTAAAGGCAATCAGAAAGGAAAAAAAGAAGTTGTAACCCACGCGTGTGATTACAAGAAAAACGAAAGTAATTATGTTGACACACAAACTGATGGCCTTTTGATTAAATTTTGTTATCAGCTCAACTGACTATATATCTGGAAAAAGGAGTGCTCAAACGGCGATATTCAGCTCCTAAATTTCATTCCGAAGACATTTCTTGAATTTGTCACGCCTGCATTTCGTCAGTGGTGCAACTTAGTGGTTACTTTATCGGGTAAAAGAAAAACGTGAAGTAAAAGTCTCTACCAGTCCGTACTAGTGTTTGTACCAAGCTTTGTGTTGGCGGTGCGGTGCTCTCGTGGTGCGACCAAAAAAATCGGGGTTACGTGAAAGCTTAGTATTTGGCACACGGCTATAAATATATCAGGTCAGGTTATCAAAGGTCAAATAAAAAAGGACATCAGGTCATCAAATCAGGTAGAGTGAAAAATTGACATAAATTTTGGGGAAAATGCGTGACAAATTCCCCCTCATAGCATGTTGCTTTATCCCTTAGGTCGGTAATTCCAGGACGCCGCAGGCACGTAAGGTCCATTAACACACTCGTCATTCAGACATCGCTGCGGAGTTCCGGAAGAACGTCAAAGTGACTTGTTTACAAAGTGGCAAATTGTGGAACTGAAACAAATGGGCCGACTGTATCCTTTCGGTGCCCATTTTATCCCTGCCATGTACCAGCTTTATCCTCGATTTTATAAGTCACGCTAAGTCTCTTCTGGCTTACCTAGGGTCATGCAATGTCTCTATTTACGAGTTCCAACGATTCTGAATACAATGGTGAAAACCATTTTCTCCTATCACAAACGCGTTTGGAATGCGATCTTTTAAAACGCCATTTTGATAATTTTTGGCGTTTTAATAATTTTTCTCGATAGGTCAGGCCAATTCAATTTTGGCCTGTTCAATAACTCTCTAGGTTAATGCCCCAGGCAACCGCAAGTCTTCGCTAAATCCCCCCAAAGTTTTCGCAGAAGCTGAAATCGGTGGGTGCATATGCGGTGCTGTTATATTCCCGTTCATGCGCATGCAAGTTATTGTTTGAACGCTTTTCGGGGCCTTAAGTAAGTTAATACGGCAAGAAAACTACTTGACGGATCTTTCTGCAATAAACAAAATATAACGTGGGATGCCAAGACGAGTCTTGTTCTGAAGTTCTGAAATCGGTCGATTTTGAACCAAGTTATAGCCATTAATCTGAATTTTGCATGACGTTTTGGCAAAACGTTTTTTCCGTGATTAAGGCATCATGCCAAACAATTTTGAAGACTTCTCAGCGGAGCAAACCCTCATCAAAAAGGATGGAACTCGTCAAACGTGTTACGCTGAAAACAGAAAATCGAAAATCCATCGATAGCTTTTAACTTGGCTCGCAACAGGGAGAGTTCTTTGCAGGGTCAAGTAGCAAATATTTTGTTCACAAATGACTGTATGCATGTCAAAGTGGCATGTTTCATCGCTGACATTTAAAGGAGTGTGTATTGTCAATTGAGATATTTGACTGTGCACGTGGAATGGTAGGGAGTTTCGAGTGAGAATTTGTTGTGTCATTGGTTTCTAGCAATTCGCCTCCACTGACGAGATATTGCACAGCCCCCAAATTTTCTTGGGTGCGCATGGAAGAACGAAGTTATGGGATAGACCCCAAGCAATATTCACCACCAAACACACCGACATCATCGAGAAGGTATCGTTAGCTCTAGACGGTGGCTGTTAGAGGAAGTCGCTTGTCAGCGCTGACAGCAGCTTGCAAACGCGTCGATAGCGGCGGCCACTGTTGATCTCCCTTTCTGTTTACATTCAGCTGGGGGCTACGGTTGTATGGGGTTGAATGTATGGTAAGGCTGGTCAGTTGATACGTGCCGCGATTTATTCGTGTTGGCCTTCAAACTGAGATGTCGCGCAACCACTGTGTCGTGTCAGCCGGCTGCGCTAGGCTCTAGGAAAATGTTATCGTTCTTCATTGTTCTGGCAGTGGCTACCAGCGGCTAAAATTCCAACACCCTGAAATTAATGACCCAATTCCGAATGCACGTGCACCGGATTCATCGTTCGAAATAACAGGGCACGTGCGCTGGAATTATTGCTGCGATGTCAGTGATACACCAGGTACGTTCAGACTATCATACTTTTCCGCCTCGAACTACGCTAGGGATCTTAAAGTGCGTACCACTCTACCGCCAGCGCAATCCCTATACGCACGAGGTCGTACCAACCAAGATAATGGACATGCACTAGCGCGCAGCTCCTCGCCACATGAAAGCCAGCGCATCCGTCCTTTTCCACCCATCGATCGGTTCATTTTTTAGCATTGTATTTGTTCACCCACAGCCATCGATGCGATCGATAATAATAAATAAAAACTGTCGCAAGACCCAAGCGCAAATTTGAGGGCCAAAATTCACCATAGATAGTTGCGGAACTCCCCACAGGCGTGTATTTGGAAAATAGAAAACACTAGAAACACTGCAGTTAATCAACCTATACTAAATGCAGCCACAGTTGGACGAGTTTCAGGTGAGAGCGCAGATAAAGTAGTCAAGCACTTTACAATCCACTTGTTAAAACGCGGCACATTTTTCTTTCACTTGGGTTTTCACGTGCTTCAACAGGTTTTTACGACCAGCGGTCTACATCAGCTGGATGTATCCAGATAAAACCGGCTGGCACGAACTACTAAAACACATCGCCTGCAGGCCCTGCTACTTACGTGATGACCGCTGGCAAGTCTCACATATGTTATCGGCTGGCTGATTTCGTAGCGCCCAATGTGCGTTAGAGGTTATATTTAATGCATGGGCATGACCCCTCCAGTCTTTCATACCGTATCACGACTACGTCGCCCCAATTTCTCTCGCATGGGTGAAGAATGAAAACACATTCCTTGGGCCTACTACCTTTCTTCTTCCATCTGTTCCAGTGGTTCTCGTCCTGCCGTCATCCCGTTTTAATCAATGAATGCCTTTGCATTTGCAACGTGAAATAGTTGACGCCTCGCACGCTACGTCTGCTTGCCATTTTTCTGGCGCCACCGAATAAAAGTTGACTTTCTTACACGTATCCCGGAGAGCTACATATAGTGCGGAGAAGACCGCGGGGTCCTGGTTCTAGTGGCCCAACATCTTGAAGCCGATGCCGAACAGCGCATTGCCAGGCAGCAACATGCCCATGCGAGAGTGAGAGCAACAACAACAGTAACAGCGAAAGTAAGAGCAAGAGCAAGAGCAAGAGCAAGAGCAAGAGCAAGAGCAAGAGCAAGAGAAAGAGCAAGAGCAAGAGCAAGAGCAAGAGCAAGAGAAAGAGCAAGAGCAAGAGCAAGAGCAAGAGAAAGAGCAAGAGCAAGAGAAAGGGCAAGAGAAAGAGCAAGAGCAGGAGCAAGAGCGAGAGCGAAAGCGTGTATAATATATATATATATATATATATATATATATATATATATATATATGGAAGAAATGATGTGTATATATGTATACGCATGTATATATATATATATATATATATATATATATATATATATATATATATATATACATACACATTAAGATGACATCGCAGAGATGGTCAGAGACGTGACAGAAAGACATCACGCACTACTCAGTGTACTATTCAGTGTTCACAAGATCCACTGCGAACAGCATTTCGGCGGACCGCCTACTCGGCTCGGCACTGTTCCCAGTCGGGCCAGTACTTGTCCTTCATACGCTCGTGGTATTGCACCAAAGCGTCGTAGTTAGCGCGAACGTAGCGCTCCACCTCCGGTGCGCAACCGTATATGACTTGGGTCAGCTCGGCGAACGCAGCCGCGTCGTACGTGGTCGGCGTACTGTCCAGCAGGAACGGCTTGTCGCCGAGTACATCTTCCAGCGCCCGCAGCTCACGACGCAGGAAAAACATTGTCTCCTCCTCGCTGAAGCGGCCTATGCCAACAGTGTAGAACAAATGTTTTATCTTCGGGAAGTTTATTGGCATCATGAGCCTGAGCATGAGCCGATACTTCTTGGGGAAGCGCCCCATGATGTAGGACCACCCGTCGAGAACGTAGCGTTTGTACGCCACGGCCATAATGGTGTGCTCGTCGAGCATCACCTGAACGGCTCGCCCCACGGCATGCTCTGCTGGCGTGAGCTTTTCCTTCAGCGGCTTCCCGAAGTGTTGCGTCAGAAAGTCGATGATAAGCTCCGAGTCGGACAGCTCCTGCCCGTTGAAGGTGATCCAAGGGCACTTGTTGCGTGACCCCTGTGGCTCTTCCGTGTCCACCACGTACTTGATGCCGGCCATGCGCAGGAACGTCTCCAGCTTCAGTGCGAACGGCGACAGATTGGGGAAGTTGGTGGCGCGTTCAAACTGGTGCAGCACCACCACGTCCTTCCCGGCCTGGTTCCAGCGCTGCCGGCGCTGGTAGCGCCTGTAGCGGCCGTACACTTTGAGGCCGATGCCGAGCAGGGCGGCGCCCAGCAACACCTTGCCCACGCGACGGCCGCTCTCGCCGCGTGCGCACTCGGACACACCGCTCCACACGGCACCAGGGCGGAACGCCGACATTGCTGACCGGTGCACCATCGTGCGTCAACTGCCAAGGAATCGGTCAGGTCCGCAGGCGACCACCACACACCACCCGTCCCCGGCGCACGAGCGGCAACTGCGGTAACTGCGCAGTCATGCCAAATCAGCAGGGTCACCGATGGCGGGCTGCCAGCGTCGGGTGGCGCATGCGCCGTCGGGCCGCTCGCTCTCCATCTCAGCCAGTCTGACCTTGAACGCGATGGTTGGCGGTCGCGGCGCAGGCCTTTCTTAGGGGAGGAGGAACGCGCGAGGCCCGACGGCATGGGTGTAGGAAGGGGGGCAGAGGGCCATGGCCCAACCACTTTTCAAGGTTGGGGCCAGCAGTGTTAACTGTCCCCCCCCCCACTCTTTAGGTTCAGGGTGTGTTTAGCTCACTTCTGCACTACATTAGACCTACATCCCGATTTACCTAGTTTACCAGCCATCTTCCTCAGAATGCGTCATCTTTTCGCTTGCTCATTGGCCATCGCTAGATGCCAGCCGCAGGCCGACGCCACGCAGCCTACAGAGACTGCAATGCCGGGCGTCGAGGCTGTTGTTGTTATGACTGACCCGTGTATGTTAAAAACCACATTACATGGTTTTTATCAGTAATCAATTCTGACCGACCAATTTTGACCAATACTGACCGATCTAATCAATTTTGGCCGAATCTTGAACATTTTAAGACGAACATGGATTAACCTTATTATTGCAAATTTGGGACCCATTTCGTTAGCGATATACATTCAGTGAGCCCTCAATATCTCTGAAGAACACAAAAACACGGAACTGTACTCCACGTGGCAACCATTGGATCACCCGCGGCGATCAGGGACGTTGTTGCGTCAATGAGGGCTCCTGTCCTGACCCAGAACCAACTCTGCGGATCAGAAGGTCTCCTGTGTCAGAGGGGGGAACAATGTGGCACGATATATCTTTCTAATGGCCTCCGGATCGACCAGGAGACCCGCCGCCTGTCACCAGAATGACAGCCAAAAGGCACTTCGCGATGAGACGGAATGGTCCTTCAGCACTTGACCGGGAACGGCAATGTGCCCTGGTGTTCTACTCAAGGGGCCCCTTGCTCAGAAGGGAATAAGAGGCCCCATTATCGTTGAATAGAGTGGAGGTTTCATCATTTTTGAATAGGGTGGGTAAAATGGGTGAAAAATGTGAACATTGGCAGCCCGTGCTTGCCTGAGAGCTTCAATTCGTAAGAATGGATTATTAAACAAATAACTTAGAAATGTTTGAATATGCCTGCTCGCAACCTCAAGGGCAAGGACAGCAATGACCTGGGCTGCAGCTTCTGTAAACCGAACGGCGTCGGCTACCGCAAACGCCAACAGACGGCGGGCACCGTGTTTATCTGTCTTCTGGACGGATTCTTAGCTACAGAAACACGAAAAATAGAGATCCTATCTTTACTCTTCCAGTTCCACCACCAGATCGCAGTGCTTTAAGGGTTAATCCGTTCTTATCATCAGTCTAAAAATCGCGCACGTGAAATATGCGCTCAGATCGTCTTCTAAATGTAACATGCGCTGTCCTGAAGCGTTCAACGGTACTTCTTTCAGAAGCGTCACCATTTTCTTCCACTCATTGGTCACAGCTCAGTATTAGCCGCTGAACCGACGCTGCGCTCCCTATGGAGACTGCAACGCCTGTTGTCGAAGTGCATGTTTCTGAGATTTGCGAGTGCGCTTGCTCAAAGTTACGTCCCATAACTTGCATCACTGATTTGTTTGAGTGTTTAAAGCTTATTGTTTCAGAAGCATCGTCATTTTTGTCCACCGGTAGGCCACGGCTCAAAGTTAAACATTGGTCTAACGCTCCGCGGTCTGTGGAGACTGCAACGTCTGATGTCAAGGTTTGTATTGCTAGGATTTACGAGCGTGTATTTAAAAAATCACGTTACATAAAATGTACCGCTAATCGATTCTGACTGAATATTAAACATCTCCAGACAAACATGGCTTGGCCATGTTAATACACATTGTTGACCACTCCATCTACAATCAAATTTTCATTTTCAAATTTCGATCAAATATACCGATCCACAATTTACCTTCGCGATGTCCTTAATGTCTATAGAACCCAGATAAAAAAATCTGACAAAGCTTCTGAATTCTATCGGCTTAGAAAGAGTTCACTAAACCAATGCAAACGAAGGGCGCCGGTGATTTAATCTATGCGGTCGTTGAACGCATCATTTTTGCAGATTATTGACTTCAAAATAAAAACAGAATTAACCTCATGGTAGCTTCTGGTTTCTGTTCCGGTGACAAGGTAAGAAAAGCAATAAAACGAAAAAATCGTGTCTCTTGTTAACAAGTAAGTTGGTTTTAAGTTGGATAAGTTGGTTTATTCGGATTTTTTTTTGGGGGGGGGCGGCCACCATAAGACGGGTTTTTGTCAACCCCGTGTTCCCCCTTGGCAAGGCTCTTGCCATGCACCTGCCTGCACACAAAAGCAAATCAAGTCGCATTCGTTTAATGATGGGTTCTGGTGACAAATGTCCGTTGGACCAATCATACCTAAGCCAGGCAGCTTCCCGGAGTTTTTCTGCAGTGGTGTGATTAAAGGGAACATAACTCGGAAAAATATTATTGCATGTGTCCGACATATGTATTACTGTGGCTTGATTTTTAAAGGAGACGGTCCAGTTGTAATGCTTTTTTCACACTGTTTTTGGCATTTTCAAGCTTCCAAATTTGTTTCCGAGTAAAATGCTGCAACAAGTCTCATCTCTTGAAAGCAGCCAGCGAAATGAAGGCGCATGAAAAACCTGTTGCACTGTGAGCCATCGATTCACAGTTAAAATCCTCACCAGCCTATATCCAGGCCGTATTCTGGCGTCTACCCTGTAAAGGCTGATGCCTCCTCAATGACCAAAAATGCCCACCCGGTCGTGGAATTTCGCCTCCCCAGGAAAGACTGTTGAAATGGACGAATAATCTTGGAAGCTGGATGACCTTATTTGTCGAACGACATAGATGAGTGGACTAGGCAAGATTGCACACCAGTATAAAAAGCTCTAGATACATATCTAGCATAGCAGCCATAGCGATGACATTTGAACAAATAGCGATAACAATCTCCACTTTTAACCTCCCCTCCCCCGGTCATCTGGCTGGCTTTCCAGAAAAGATTCCCTGAAGTACGCCCTGAGCTTAGCCCTCACTTTTTGAAACGTTCCCACGCCTGTGCCCGACGGTGTGGCATGCGTCCAACAAGGTGCAGAATTACTTGTCTTGGCCATAAACTCACTTTTTTATTTGCAAACTTTCGGCGCACCGCACAACTCACAAACAAAGACGAAAAGCATTCGTTACCCGACAACTAGGATCAGACACAATATATATTCTTTTGCTTAGGTGTGGACCAAATAACAAATTTTCTGGAAAATACCCTGAACTTGGAGGACATTTGAAATGCCTAGTGTCTAGTGTAAACTTCTGCTCTTGGAGGAGGCATTGCCCCTGCCCATTGGCTATGTCTCTGATCAAGGCATTGCGATGCAGGCATTTGGGGCAATGAGCCATCAATCTTCTGGGAAATGCGAATTGAATCCTAATCATTGTTTGGTCCTGATAATCAGTGACCTACGTAAAGCTGATTGCAGTAGGCAGACAGTCACAGTCACGTGGTATTATGGACGAAGGGACGTCTCAGGGGTGAGGGTGGCAACATTTAATGCTAAAGACGATTGTTAATGCACCATCAAAAAAGAGTCATCAAAGGGTTTTTCGGCGGACTCGGACAGTGCGGCTGGCGTGCCACTTACGCCCCCCCCCCCCAAGCTTTCTCACGCCTATGCATGGTATCCACAAAACTAGTTGCGTACCGAAATCTGTCTGGAAGGATCCTGTCGCCTGGGTGCCGGTAGCGCAGTGGTTAAGCTACGCGTGTGGAGAACCAAGGGTACGGGGCTCGATCACCCACGCTGTCCGCCCTTCCCGCTAGGGTGAGAGCCATAGCAGCTTTACCCTCATCAACTGGATTGTCATTGAGTTCCATGGTCACACACACACACACACGCGCGCACGCAAGCACAAATCTTTGAACTCGATTCCGGCGAAAATACGAAGGTTGGGCTCAAGCTGGCGTTCCAGGCATGACATTGTTCGCAATGACGACAAACATAGATAAGTTAGCGTTAGCATTTAACACTGAAAACAGTGGTGCCAGTTTCTTGAATCGGTTCGGGAGGGATCAGCCAAAAAGATTGACTAACCTTTCCCCAAAGCTTGACTTCTTCCGGATTTTGGGCAACTCATTTTACATCGATTTATTTTACGTTGATTTATTTTAAACACTAAGGAAAATGCATCTCGTAGATCCAAAATTGTTTTTCTGCGGAAGAATGACCCCATTTCAAGCTCATGTTGGCTGCCTTTTTGTGAGAAGCTTAGAATTCGGTGTAGTCCACAGAAAAACATCTTAGTCTGACCTTGGGATTCCTCATGACTACTGCTGTCGGTGATCGTATTGCATAAGAACCACAACCGTGATTATGCTTCGGTTGGAGGAAAACATATGCTATTTTTTATCTGGGCGACCATGTACTTCTCAAAGTTACCGTATGTTGCCGTGAATTGTTCTTTATCACAATCCAGGCGTTACCTTTTGGAAAACTAGTCAAATACTTGCAAACTGGCTTCACATATGAACGAGCCAGTATGGCAAGTACATGAGGTGGCAACATAATATCATTTGGCAAACAATATCACGATACTAGTAAATTGTTGTGGTACCTATTACCTAGTATACTAATAGTTAAGACAATTGTTCTGTATTGATTCGGCGCAGTATCACATCTTTGCTCATATGGGTTACATTGAGGGGATTCAGAGGAGTGATGGGAGCAGGGGGCTCTCATCAGCATTGAGACGGGCGAGGAGGGGGCTCAGTGTTTTTCAGTGTCCCGAAAGTGTTTTAAGTGACGTCCTTGATTGATAGGTCATTATTCGTAGACGATTCTGCTGTCTGGTTAAGTGTGTGGACTACACTACCTCGGCCGCGCACCACGTCTGCGTCGCCCCTATGGCCCCTCCCCTTTTCTTGACAGACCTCCTCACAGAGTTTGCGAGAGCACTGTAACCATAAACGAGGTTCAGACCCCCTCCACCGGCATTTGGGCCCACACCTCTGGCTCCCATCCTTACGTCACCGTGCTGCACGGTGCAGGACGGTGACGCGCGGTGACGTGGCGCGCCGTGTTACGTCACCGTGTCGCGCTAGGGCCGCCACAGGCGCTGCATCAGGTCGCGGGTTTCATCAGTCCCCACGGGGGGGGGGGGGGGGGGGGGGGGGGGGGGGCGTGTCGAGTGAACCGAGGCGTGAGTGTCAGTGATGGGAGAGACCACCTGGACAAAATGTTGCCACTTATCGGCCGCAATTACAGATATTGGCGCCATATTCAAAAAAGCTCTAATGAGATCGAGGTGATCAGAAGGTGTGCCAATATCGTGCAATGTCGTACAGAGCACGGGCTCCACCGGCAACAGGCGGTGGGCGAAATCTGGTGGACATAGAAATCAAAGCAGGCACAAACCGGTGCGGACTGAAAGTACAGGGCCGGTTGCCACTGCGCTTGAGTACATTGTAATAATTAACAATGGAAAATGTCTATAATGGATCCTAATGGATATATTCTGGAGATGAAAAGGAAAATGCAATGCAAATTAATTCTTACTATCTAGGTTAACTATTCACGTCTTCCCACTATCACAGTCAGACTTCGTAAGGTCACGGGCACATCGGCACATTTTTCAACCTTAGAAAGGAGGTTGACCAATCAACAAACGCTGGTACCGCTTCTCCGAACCAGCCAAGTCCGCCCTCAGGTCAACCACAGCGCGCCTTCGAGGCCGATAAACTGAGCCGCGCATGACCTGCCGCTTACCACATTGTCTAACAAGTGTCCAGGGCGATTGTAGCTTGCCTCTTCTTCTTCTGTCGTCCGGCAAACCCGGCGGCCGATCATCGCCCCCCCCCCCCCGCCGCAGGAGGCCACTCCGGCGCGGGAAAGCGAACCACGTCGTCTGGGTGGTTCTGCATCACCACCAGCGATGTAGCGTGGACAAGGCCACGCTGCTTGGCAGTGCTGACAGTCACAGGTTCGGCGTTCTGTGTCATCCAGCAATCCACACTCCACGGTTCAGGCCGTAATTACGGGCCTGTTCCACCGAGGCAGGGTAGCAGGTGTTGGCTGGTGGGGCTGATCCAGCATCACTTGCTCGTGTCAGGACCAGTCATCCTCATACTGCAAGCTGGGGCACCCGGTCACTCCCCTGTGGGCATGCTCGGGCGGCGCGGTCGTGTGGCAGGTATACGACCACTCTCTTCAGGCACACACTTCGTGGAACCGCTTTAGCCGAGGAGGGGTCGCCGCCTTTACGTTGTGGGCCAGGCTGACGACCTCCCTCCCCCGCCCCCAATTGAGCGCTTTGGTCCGTCCTTCTCGTTGCCCTCGATTCTGCCGACCTGAAACCCAGACGACTCGGACGTTCTTCTTATGGCGGCTCAGGCTGGCCCGGGGAGATCATATCTCCGAGATGATTTCCAACTCGCTTTTCTTCGCTTCTGTTGGGGTAGGCAATGAGGGAGAGGGAATCCGAGCACAATCTGAGGGTTCCCTGTCCTTTTGGGCGTTAGTCACGTTCTGAGCCGCCGCCAGGAGTGCCACCAAACGTAGTGGTGTGAGTCTGTCCGCCGGCCAACAGGTACGCTCCGAGCGGCGTATGCTCCATGTCGTTTCTTCTGATGGCACCATTGCCGCCCACCCAAACTCCTCTTCAGAGAAGCCGTCGGTAAAAGTTTTCCGTCTCACTTCGTCTTCTACTGCCTCCCTGCTGCGTGCCACCTCCATCCTTCGTGCCGCATGCTGGTGGTCGACCTTCGAGGGCGGAGACGGCGGAGTGGCCGACTGTTCGTCTGTCTAATATTGAAGAGCCATCCATAGAGGTGCATGCCCCGCCCGAGCGTCGCGTCTTCGCGTGGCGGAGGTGCTTGGGTCACATGAGCACCCTGGTTTCATCATGCAAGTTGCAATCTACCGTCCACGATAGTCTTATCGCCCAACAGCCTTCCGATACTGCACGGTATGGGGTGGTCCACTGTACGGCTTGCCTGGGTGTCCACTGTACGGCTTGCCGTGACTCGGGCCGCATCATTCTCTAAAACGAAGCATCTTGTCAGTGGCTTGCGGCCATGGTTTTTTATCGTGCCCATGGTCCCTGGAAAAAGCCATATTATGTGCCAATTGTTCTCGACCAAGTGAATGGTGTCGACCAGTTTGAGTTGCAGCCTATCACTCTGCTACTCCCTTCGTTCTCAGGCACGCGAGACAACCGGAGTCTCAAATGGTCCCTGGAGCCTGTGAGCTAGCGTGCGAAATGAACTAGGCTCAACATCCAGCGCCTCATTCTGAGCTTTTTCTTAATACGCACTGTACCTTGTAAGGATCGCAGGACCTATGGCTGGTCAAAATCAGGCCATGGCTTCAGCGAAGGCAATTTCTAGGGAATCATTCAATCTGATCCAACAGTGGAGTGTTAGACGAAGCCATACATCTCTGACACACTTTCTTAAGCGACACAATAATCTAATGAGCAAATTACATTGATCCTAGAGTCAGGTATGAAGGTCGGACCAAGGTCAAAACCAACCTGTTTTATTACTCTCGGGCTTGCCGTATGGGGTAGTCTCTGGCGTCCATTTCCATTTTATTTACAACAAGAACTACATTATACACCATCAGTGGACTTCTTTAAGGTCAGAACAGGTCAATGACCTAAAATGATTCAGGTCAACATTTTGTTTTTAGTGATATGCTGCCTAGCGTAATCTTTGTCGCCTATTCAAATGCAAAACTGAAAGCGGTCTTGTATTACTTTGGTCACCACTGTCCTTCGAAAATAAAAAAGATCACTTTTCTTGAATGAACGTATGACATTTTGCTTAGAACAGGCATTTAGGTTCTGAGCACAATTTGAAGACCAACTTAGAGTTTGACTTTGTTTGACCTTATTTGACCCGAAAATCTTGACCTAGGATGATCGCACTTTGACCTAAGTGAGTACACGCATAGGTCAACACATTCTGTGAATTTTGTGTTTCTATCTCTCTTGGATCCTCAGATCTCAGTGGGGTCAAAGTGACACCCACCCGAGCGAACGGTATCCAACTGGCCACCCGGACGCGCGTTAATTTGATTGAACTATCATCACATGACGCTGGAGTGCTTTTCGCATGGTGGATATGACTCCCATCCGAAGTGAAGCACATCCAGTCAGCTCGGACGTGCTTCAACTACCTTCAAACGCCCCTCAGCCGCTTAATATGGAGATAGCTTATCTCTGGAGAGCCTAAAATGAGTGATTCTCCTCTCAAAGCAATGCCTGTTCAGGTTTCAGGAAATCTACCATTCAAAGCCATCTCAATATCATGGCTCGCAGCTCAGCACATTTGCAGTCTAATGTTTGTATCGATAGCGCTTCAATGTGAACAATGAACTATCTTATATCGATAGCAGACACTCCATAAGACCGTTCATTTCTATCAATATTATACCGTACACTCTTGATTGTAGTCTCAAACTGACGTAAGTTGTTCAGCGCATTAGCGAGAAACATCATTCACATTGATAAGCCAGTAGTAATAGCATTATTCCTCGGAGAAAAACCAGGAGAATGGAGATATAGTTGGGTTGATATTTCGGCAACATGCCTTTAACGAAACAATAGGAGTGCTACGTTCAAACTGGTGCAGCACCACCACGCCCTTGCCGGCCTGGTTGCCTTGCCTTCTGCCCTTGTTTCGGTAAGGACATATTGCCGAAATATCAACCCAACTATATCTCCTTTCTCCAGGTTTTTCTGCGAGGAAAAAGGCTGTTACCGCTGACTTGGTCTCAAACTGCAAGAATTACAAAAAGAGCCGCAAATTCCACTTTATTTCGGCAGGCATGCCCTCTTCAGATTAAGACATGACCTCTTTGGGTGATAATATCATTCATTGCTGAAGAGAGCATGTCCGCCGAAATATAGTGACCTTTGTGGCATAATTATAGTATTTCTTTTAGGTTGACTGTCGTCATGACTACACGGTAGAATTATGAAATACGTGAAAACAAACCGACGGTACACGGAATCGACCGCTATCAGAAATGCATTTTCAGCCTCCCCAAGATCATTTGCTGGCGGCGCCTCTGTGCGCCGCGGCTCAGTCGGGAGAGACCGGAGCCTCTGCCGGGCGGTGCGGCTATCTGGCGGAGCGGCGGCCGATACGGCGCCCTCTGTCCTCCTGTCTGGGAATGACTGAGCAGTTACCACGCGCCGTCCGCCAGTGCCCGCCGCGCGGTGGCCGCCTGTGGACACGAGTTATTCCGCGGTAGTTGACGCACGATGATGCACCGGTCAGCAATGCCGGCGTTCCGCCCTGGTGCCGTGTGGAGCAGTGTGTCCGAGTGTGCACGCGGCGAGAGCGGCCGTCGCGTGGGCAAGGTGTTGCTGGGCGCCGCCCTGCTCGGCATCGGCCTCAAAGTGTACGGCCGCTACAGGCGCTACCAGCGCCGGCAGCGCTGGAACCAGGCCGGGAAGGACGTGGTGGTGCTGCACCAGTTCGAACGTGGCACCAACTGTCCCAACCTATCACCGTTCGCGCTCAAGCTGGAGACGTTCCTGCGCATGGCGGGCATCAAGTACGTGGTGGACACGGAAGAGCCACAGGGGTCACGTAATAAGTGTCCTTGGATCACCTTCAACGGACAGGAGCTGTCCGACTCGGAGCTTATCATCGATGTTTTGACGCAACACTTCGGGAAGCCGTTGAAGGAGAAGCTCACGCCAGCAGAGCATGCCGTGGGGCGTGCCGTTCAGGTGATGCTCGACGAGCACACTGCCTTGGCTGTGTTCTACAAGCGCTACGTCCTCGACCGTGGCTGTTACATGGTAAAATGCGTCCCCAAGAAGTATCGAGCTCTGCTTGTTATCTTAACCCTCTTCTTCTTCTCGGCGATGAAGAAATTTTTTTATACTGTGGGCATGGGCCGCTTCAGCGAGGAGGAGACAATGTTTTTCCTGCGTCGCGAGCTGCGGGCGCTGGAAGATGTGCTGGGCGATAAGCCGTTCCTGCTGGACAGCACGCCGACCACGTACGACGCGGCTGTGTTCGCCCAGCTGACCCAAGTCATCTACGCCTGTGCGCCGGAGGTCGAGCGCTACGTGCGTAGCAGCCACGGCGCTCTCATTCAGTACCACGAGCGTATGAAGGACAAGTACTGGCCCGACTGGGAGCAGTGCCGAGCCGAGTAGGCGGTCCGTCGCAGCACTGCCTTAGCGGTCGTCTTCTCATGGGCCTTAAGCCTTAGAGTCTTAGCTCGTTCTGGGGACGTTAATTCCAAGCAAGCGCACTTGAATGCATCATGGTCAGTTGGATAGTGCGCAGTATTCGTACAGCTGGGAAAAGTGCTTGTGACCAGGTTGTTACATGAATGATGAATAAGATATGAAAGGCGGGACCACATGATATCATGCTGACAGGAAACTGAATCACTATAGTGTACGTGATACTCAGCGTTTTGTGACCAAGTGTTTCTTAGTTCTCAGGCCAACCCTCTCAACCCACTGCAAAAAGACAAAGAGCAAGACGAGATAAACGAAGGAATCGGACACACGTCGTTCGAGTTCGCAGCCGGGGTTAGAAACATGGGCTCGGCTCCTTTTTGTAATGCCGAAGACATCTCAGCGCATTGCATGCTTTGCATGCTCCCGACCCTCCAGATAGTGTTGTTACCTGTTTATTTTTTTCTTTCCCGTACGCTTGCGAGGCGGACTACTGTTCCAAAGTATTTTATGTCGAGAGGTACAGTTATTCTCTTTGACTGCGGCAGACCCATGACAGCCACCTGCAGATCCGTTGGGCTTCGAACGCACCGTACTAGACAACTGTCCGTACCGCTTAACGGAGCGTGAAAAGAACGATGCTGCAAAAGTATTGCTAGATAGAACGCCCAACATGTTTGAAGCTCTTATCTTCAACACGTCTTAAGTTGTTCACAGCATATCAGATCTGGTGACTCAGATGGCGTCCCGCCTCATGCCTGGTTGTGTGCCGCCCCACCGAGCGCCGGCCGGTAACGAGCGATGGATCAAGTCTCAGAAGTGTCGACGGCGAATGATTGATGAGCTGTATTTCTGCCGACTGTCGATCCCTGCTGTGAAGCAGTTCGCGTACATCTCACCACGTCAACGCTACTCTGTGTCGCAACCATTAGGCATTCACACGCCAGCGTGGAGGCTGGCGCGCGGCCTCGGGCCTTGCGACGGGATACACGGGAGGGGCGCGCCGTCCAAGCCACGGCACGCCGTTGCCTCCCAGCTTGCGTCGCATGCGTGGCCGTCACGACAGACACCTCGCGCCGACAAATCTCTGAGTGCAAAACCTTCAGTGAGATAGACACCAATACGCAAGAATGGGTGCTGATCGCCGCCACCAGAAGAAGCATACACATGGCTATGACGCGCGTCTCTTTGGCGTTTCGCAGACTCGCGGTAACCGTAACAATCCACGCAGGGGACGGGCTAGCCACCACAGCTTCCCGCGGCGTTCGCTAGATGGCAGCACGGGTTCTGCCGTAGCCGACCGAGGTCTGCGCCGTCCTCAGTCTGTGTACTATACATATAATGCCGCTACCGTCGGGCCGGCCGTCGCGGGCTCGGTTAGTGTTTGTCCTTGCTCTGCTCGCGCTCCAGGTCAATGGTCTCCAGCAGCTGGTTGTTGATTGCAGCGGTGCCGGCTACCGAGCCGACGTCGGTGGCGGTCGTGTTGACGTCATCCACAATGTGATCGGTGGAGTTGCGCGTGAGGTAGGCGTACCTCTGTCGGTAAGTGCAAGGCCGCCAGGCTGTGTCCAGGCCGGCATTGCGGTACAGCCCGCGCCGCTGGGTCACGTGGCACCTGTAGGGTACAACGCACCGGCTAGCCAGGTGATCGACATTGACTCAGCTTCTGCGCAGGGCGATCGACGTGTTAAAACAAGCACAGAGGTCAGCTAGGCGGCCCCAGCGATTCCCAGATGACCGAAAAACCATGAGCAAGTGTGAATGAATGGTAGGAACTCGCCGTGAAAGATTCACAACTTTGTCGTAAGCTACTGCATCCCTTGCGCGATATGGGGGCGCGATGAGACGACATGCCTAGGACAACTTACCCTGATAGGCGAGCGCTCATGTGCGTTCTCTATCCGCCCTCACATGCGGATAAGGAACCGCGTGCTCTGCTCCCAATGGGTGCCGTTGTACGTACGTCTCCATGGCCATGTGGGGATCGACCTGGCAGGGACTGTCCGGGTCGCAGCAGTAGTCCCAGACGGCCTCGTTGTTGTCGGTGAAGCAGTACCAGTAGCCGCCGGAGCGGTCAATCCGGCACGGACCGCGCGCACACGCCCGGCCCGAACACGTCTCCAGGTGGCCGTGCCTACCGGGCCCAGGCGTGGGTCATCACACACGGCACGGCTCGTCTGCTCCCGGCGGGGCGGCCAGCCTCGGGGCGTCACAAACAGCACCGCGTGTCGGCGAACGGTCACACTGGGACAGAGCTCAGATGGTTGGACGTGCTGCCGGCGGGGCTGACACGCCAATGGACTAATCCGCAGTCCTTCTGGTCGTGCTGACCCGTAGTCGTGCTGGTCGCACTGATCTGTAGTCGTGGTGGTCGTACTGATCTGTAGTCGTGCTGGTTGTACTGACCTGCAGTCGTGCTGGTCGTACTGGCCTTTAGTCGTGCTGGTCTTACTCACCTGCAGTCGTGCTGGTCGTACTGATTTGTAACCGTGCTGGTCGTACTGATCTGTAGTCGTGCTGGTCATAAGGACCCGCAGTCGTGCTGGTGGCACTGATCTGTAGCCGTGCTGATCGTGTTGACCTGTAGTCGTGCTGGTGGTACTGACCTGTAGTCGAACTGGTCGTTGGGCCGGTCGCACTCGCGTCCGTTGCCGTGGAAGTCGTAGATCTCGAAGCTGGCGCGTGGCTCCATGTCGCGCGGCGAGAGCTCGCCGATGCGCAGGTCCGTCAGGTGACAGGAGAAGGCGCGCCCGCCCGGTAGCACCCTGGCGACGCGTCGGGTCGGCGTCACCGGGCGCGCGCGGCGCCGCCGTGGGGAGTGGCGAGATTACGGGAGCTAGAGGGCGTTGTCAGCGTGTTTGGAGGGTGGGTTTCGTGTGTGGGCCCGCCCCGACGCGTTGCGATGGGACGGGCGCTCTTACCATTCCTGTGATCCGTTCCGCATATTGTCTTTAGGAGATGGTGTATTACTGCTATCAGTCACACTCCTGCCCGAACGAGGGAGCCCATGTGGGTTTTTGGAGCTACAGCGTTCAGCAGGACCGCCGTAATTATCAAACAGCCTGTGCGCGGCCTAGAACTGACGGGTCGTAAAGCGTTGCGGCAAGCGGAGCCTGTCCTTCGACAAGGCAACGGTCCATACCCTGACGGGCGCGCTTTGGGGGCGTTACCATAAAAGCTCCGTTACGTCGTGTGGGGGACTACGAGTTAGAAGCAGAGCTAGAGGGGTGACAGGCGGGTAGTTCTATCACTATGTTACAAAGCAGACATGTGCCGCGAGACCCCCCACACCCTACCCCGAAAGATCTCAGGATTTGATCTCAGGATCTGGTCTCGGGATACAATCTCAAAGTCCTATCCCAGAATCCCATAAACGTGGGACGCTATGGGATCATTTATGCGTCCTTGGCCTCCAGGAACATATGTCTGGATACAATATCCGTCAGTTGCTCGAGGTCTTTCATTCATGGCGCGAAGGGCGCTCTGCTTGTGCGACACAAGCAGGGGTGTCACTTTCTAAAATCAGTCGGGGGAGGCTGAGCAAATATAGCTGGCTAACCTACCCCCGATCCCGATTTATTTCCTGGTTTTGGCCATCTTGATACGCGCACCTGATAGCAACATAAAAATGTTTAGCCTGTTCCAAAATAATTTTATGTTAAGGAATGAACTGGAATGAGAAACGTCCATTTGAAGCCAATGTGATGGCGATATTGATGATCAAATTGATAGTGATGCGATCAGGTACCTAGTGTACATACAGTTAAAGGACACAAAGTGATACTCCCACACACAATCACGGTGCCATAGGTCATGCTAAGGCCAATGCGCTGCATGAGTATGTGTGGCGCAGCGTTTCGGAGCGCGCCGGCTCGGCACCCGGCACTGACCCGATGACCCGGCACTGACCCGAATGAGAAGGTCTCGCAGCGGAAGTTGCGCTCGTCGCGGCAGGCCTGCTCACACTCGGCCAGACTGCGCGCAGTGATGTCACGCCGCACCGCGTTCACGTTCAGCAGCGTGTTGTCTCGCACGCGCAGCGAGCAGTCTGCGGGGCGCGGCCGCCACGTTAGCGAGGTCGCCCACCGGGCATGACCGCCGGGCCAAGGCCGCCGGTCACGGCGCGCGCCGTCCTGCCGTCACGGCTCGTGACGCGCCGCCGCCGTTTGGCGAGCGCAACCGGCTGTGCGTAGAACGGGACTGTCGCAACAGATGAGTGTCCCTCACGGTGGGCTGTCGAGTGAAACCTACTCACTCTATAAATGCGAGTTGTGGACTGAGAGTGGACGGAACTCGTCGATTGAGATACATTGATTTCACACAGGGAAGCATTTATGGATCCAGCGATCAATATCAACCTGTCCGAACCTAACGCACGTCCCCTAAAATTTGTGATAAAGCTTGGGAGACTATCATTGCCATGAAAGAGACAAAATGCCTTCATACTTGACCAAAATATGTTTGATTGTTATTATGCACGATACTTGAAGTGGAACCTTGTGTGCTTACGTCCGCTTCATTTCACCCCATTTTCTATATTTTGCATTTATATACATTGTTTAGAGAGGCCTTGCAGGACAGTGTCATACATTCAGAGTATTCCCTACTTCTTCGTTCTGTTCATAAAATGTGCAACTCGCTCGGCATGGTTCAGCTTTTCTTTCCACAATTACAGCGAGCAACAGAAGGTTCCTAACAAACAATTGGCGCCAGCCCGAAACAATGCTTCACGTGGTTTCAAGCAATGCCAAAATATTTTTCTTCGACCTTCTGAGATCAGAAACATCTATTATGAGACTTTGTCTCATATTTTAGGGGTCATGGGATTTCTGGTACACCTAGTATATGCCTACTTACGTATACTTACTACTTTGTATATACCTGCTATATATATATATATATATATATATATATATATATATATATATATATATATTTGTTATTATCGTCTGCCAGCGATTACTCACGTCACAGAACAGCCTTGGCACGCTCAGAACAAGCACCAGTAGTATATTCTTTAAGACTTAATTTGCAGCCCGCCGTCAGCCTGGCGTTTCGGAAAAGTATGCGTGACGCGCCGCAGCAGTAATGAGCCGAACCATACTCACAAGCGTAGCCAAAGTTCTGGGAGTCGTAGAAGCCGTTGTCCCAGCCAGAGCAGTACGACGAGGCGTCCTTCTCGTAGAAGTCCCAGCCGGCGATCGGCCGGAATTGGGCGTAGTTGGCGTAGCTGTCCATGTCAGTCAGCTCGCACACCGTCTCCACGGGGTCGCTCCTGGCGGCGCACGGGTCGATGACGTCACCACGGAGCCAGGTCGGAGCTCCCGACACTCTCGCGGTCGAGGCAGAGCGTGATATCTGGGCTTCCACGCCAGCGTGGAATCATATGTATCAGTGGGGATCAGTTTTGCTCGTTCACAATGCATGGGGTACCTATTTCCGCACATTGGTTTCAATCCTCGCCAGATTTAGGTACGTTGAAGTGAAAAAGGATACTACATTTGAAAGAAGAGGAGCTAAGGCAATGTCTGGTCTTTTATACTATGCTTAATTATGACTGGATGGATTCAGATGCACGCATATCAGATAGAATACAAGATAGCTCGCAAGTCGCGTCAGGTTCCCAGATTGAGACGGATATGCGCATATCGTATAGGGCAACACGTGCCGGTTCTTTACAACTTGGGCGCTTTAAAAAACGCGCGCAAGTTCTTGCGCCACCTGACGTAGATGCATTTGGAGCCCCAGCCTTTTCTTCACACCGTTTTGCAAGTCTTTCTCAGTGCGCTGAATGAGGGTGCCGAGCTCGGCTCACCTGAAGTTGAAGGAGACGCATCTGCGGTCGCGGTTGCAGGATTCCTCGCAGTCGCGAAGCTCGCGGGACCGGATCACCTGCAGGATGTGGTTCTCCAGCCGCTGGTCCCTGCGCTGCAGGCGGTAACACCCTGCCGAAGGCACGCCCGTCACTGCTGCGGCTGGCAGAGGAGTCGTGAACTTGATGCCACGGGTTCTAGCGACGTATCTGAATGGCACGTGTCATTGTACATTGGAAGTTTAGGGAGCTGACAACGGTGAGTATTTCTTTAGATTAAATATAATATACAATAAAGAGTACTACTTTGGATTGGCGGTGCGTTTTCAAAAAGATTATGGCTGAACGCCATACTGGTGAACGCCAAAGTACGCAGTTTTTATTTGTTTAATTTTCAGGACAAGAATAAATCTGGGACGCCTGAACATTTCTACAATTTTGTGCTGAGACGTACTCGTAGTGCTAAAGTGGAAGAAGAGAGCTGCCAAGATGGCGGACAAGCTTTTAACAACGTTGGGCGGTACGCCATGACGTTTCATGTTGCGAAAGTGGGAGGGCGCATCACAATGATCTAGGTGACAGAGATGAAGGATATAGTCATTCGGTGGCCACTGCCATGCGCTTTGGACAGCTAAGGTGCACGTTCACGCGAGCCTTGTGACGATCCATTGTTGGGCCGCGCGCCAGCAGCACAACGCACCGAGCCGGCACCAACACCCGATAAGTACATCGATGATACTGAGGGTATAAACAGGGCGTGTTTGAGAGAAGGTTATATGGGAAAAAACTGGATGCAGTCATGCGCAGTGGACGGGCTGGAAACAAAGGGGACTCGATTGTGATTATTTGGGCTGTAAGAATCTGCGGCTTCTCGGTGGGTTGGCGTCTGGAAAAATAGAACTGCATACTACGACGCTATCATAAAACATGGCGGATATCCACGACCTGCAAGTACGGAAGCCTATTACCACGCCAGGTATACCGATTAACACGTCATGACTCGTATCGATTGCCTTCAGCATTCTGTCTTCGGGCGGAAGGAAACGTCATTTAACGACATCCACGTCCACGTCCACCGTGCCAAAGGACACGACATTTAAGCATTGCTGCCTGCTAAAACCTCAGCCTTCGTGACTGCGTGAAAAAGACGCCAACTCAGGTTGCCGGTGACCTTGCGTGCGTCAGGCGTCGCTGGCTGGCACCGGTGCTGATTGCGTCGGGCACCTAACCGGAACAAACGACTGCACCGTATTTTGGACTCGCGAGTCTTGGGAGCAGTAGACCATAAGCTATACCATTGCCCGTGCCTCTTATTAAAATGGCGCAGTAGACTGCACACTCTCCAGGAACAAACCGTGCGACCACGGGCAATCAAAACCAATTTGCTGACAGGGAAGTAAGAATGGCTGGCACATTTGTCATCCTGTGCAGTGCTCAGGATTGTTCAGGTGTACAGCAGGCGCGGGCAAACACCGAGTCACCGTGATCGGCAGGCTATGACCCCGTCCTTACGTCTAGCTGAAGCCGAAGGTTCCGCCCCAGGCGAACGCCAAGCCTGCGGCCGTGAATGCCATCGCCGTCAGGTTGCTTTACCGTCAGTGGAGCTCGTTGCCTAAGCAATGCATTAAGACAGAACACCCCATCCTTGCGCAAGCCGTCGCCACAAAACATCATCCCACCCCTGGTGACCTCTCCCTCCGTTTTACCCCAGTGCGCGGTCCGTTTTTGTGTTCGCCCCGCGTCCTGCCGTGTTTGTCCCGAGTGGCTAGCTCAGCGGCGGGCCGACCGGACAATCGACCCGGAGCCTCACACCGTGACCGCGTGGTGGCACGGCTCTCAGCGGTCCTCCCCTCCTCGGGCAAGATGCCGCCGGCCGTGCGGGGCGCTTTCACTTTTTCCTGGTCTATCAGCGGAGCGGCTGACAACGTTCGGCGTTTGTTTTCGTTGCACGTGCGACAAACGTGGTCAGCGCGTCCGGTTCGCTTGCGATTTGTGGCCCTTCGTCAAAAGCATGCGGATGCGTAACTAACATTGCAGGTTTTGCTCCACTTAAGTGCCTGCATTCGCTGGTGCCGTAAAATGGGCTGTTGATTCACCAAGAGGCATGCTTAATTTCGCCAGGACTAACATCACCGTCACGAAATCGTCAAAAAAGATGCAAGTGAACCAAATTGTTTGCAGCAGGAATCATGCCGACGAGCTTCATGGAGTGGGCCGTTTAGGTGTCTGCTCTGGCCGCAACCCTGGCTGCTGTCAATGCTTGCCGGTCAGCGGCCGTGGGACGGGCGCCGTGTCAGTGGACGGCCGGCCGGCGCGGCGGGGGCGCAGACGCGCCGCGGTCGGACCGGCGAGCACCGCCGCGGCCCGGCTCTGCGCCGGCGCGCTGCACACACCAACCTTCGGCTTCACATCCCGCAGTCCAAGACCCGACAATGGTGACACGACTGGCCACACTGGCACAAATGCCGCTCTTTCACTGAATTGAAACGTAGGTGCAGGACGTGTTAGTCATACGGATATGACTGCTCCGGCACAAGTGGCTCAATCAGATGCCATGCGCACATGGCGGCTGGTCTGTGGACATTTTAGTCTGCGTCTAAAGCTTCCGCCGGAGATCAGACGCCAATGTCGCGTGGAAGTTTGAGTAATTAAATAAAAAAAAGAGAGAGGGAAATTTGAGACCATCCCAACTAAGTAATAGGTCTCCAGCTTGTGTAACGAAGAATGTATGGTTGGTTTGCGGACACAATGGTCGTTTGAGTCCCCATTGTAGCCTGCACTGCTCAAAAAGGAAGGGTGCCGGTAGAGAGGCAGTCAAGCTGCGGACCTGGGAAACCACAGATTCAGGGCTTGATTCCCCGCAGCACCCGTCCTTGTCGCCAGGGCGAGAGGCACGCGACATCATATAGTCTCAGCATTCGTAGATCTCCAATGAAGACTCAAAAATAGCCCCATCGGATTGTGATGTTACTTAGCTGCTCACGAGCAGATTGGATGGCGGCGGCTCTTCTCGCCCTTCGGCATTTCATTATCCCAATAACTCAGCCAAAAGACGTCATCAGAATACACAGACACCAACATGCATAGGGTGCAAGGCTTCCCACGTCGGAAAGGAGCGTAAGCATCGTTCAAAACAACAGAATAACATTCATTCTTTATTCGTGTCTTAAGTTAGGCGTTATACATGCTAACGACAAGTCGCCAAGTTAGACCACACCAGTACCATGCAGGGCTGCTCTGCTGCACTTCCCAGTTGAGAGATGTATGTTAACATGCAGTCCAAGACTAGCACCCATGCACAAAACGAGGACGCTAATGTACCATGCTGCTATTTGTAAAATTTCTGCTTTCGTTTCTCGTATTCCCTTTGCAGCGCTGTGCTTGATTCTCCTTCAGTGAAATAGATCCTGACTTTAACTCGCAACGCACGCGGCTCATTGTGTCTTCGACCCTGAGGAGTGCTGTACAATTTTGAGTCCACCCCGATCCCGACCAAGGAATTAATGGCTGGAGTCTGGCATTGGCTCTGAGGGGGTCAATTTCTGCGATAACACCGATTTAAACTGTTCTGTGGGCTTTACAGAAGCCTGCATATGCTATTTATTCTGATAGCATAATAGATGCCCATGACTCCTCAGTTTGGTCTCCACATGACATTACTGGCTTTTTTGAAATTATATAGAAGCTGTAATATATAAGATGATTTCGCATGTGATATAAATATGTATATATTACTATAGAAGCTATGTATATATAATTTGCCATTATATGTCATATTATGACCATGTTATCATGACTATCAATATGTGTTCGCATATACGATTCTGCTTAAGCCGATTCACGGATGGTTGGGATGGGTGCCCGAACCCGACCCTCAAAAAAAGATTCAAAGGAGCTGATTTCACATGCTCTCAGCAAAACTTTCCTTGATTACGAGGCCTTCAATGACTCCAGCCGTGAGTCAAGCACGAGACTGACTCAGTCTGGAAGGCATCAGAATACATCAAGATACAAACATTCAGGTGCATAAAAACTTTAAACCTCGTGCTAACTGTCCACCGGTGGCTCTACAAGCCTCGGTGCCTGTGATACCCTGTCGCGATCATTTCGACACAGTCAGGTCTCGCAAGGTCGTCTCGTACCGGCTGGCCAGAGGCAAGGTCAAGCGTTCCGCCGCTGCCCGTGCAATAGTCTGTGCGCACGTGGCGTTCCGTAGCGGCACACAAACACGGCGCAGACACACAGGCTGCCAGCGTGCGCGGCGGCTGTGGCGCAAGTCCACCGGCGATGACTGGCCAAATTCCCCCACGTCCCTCACACTATGTCTGGCAGCTGACCTGCAATGACAGAGCCGGGCTGATGTCATGCACATCGTGACGACGGCGCAGAAGTGGTGAATATTCTCAAGCCTTGCGTTATAGTATTTGTGTGTGGTCTTGTAAGGCAGGTTTATGCTAAAAGCCCGTTTCGGTAGGTTGATAAGTACTTCATTGTCTGTTTAGTCGCCTTAGACAAACATTTTTTAATGCACAATGCGATGAAGATTAAAATGATGTGTGTTTTGTAACACTCTAGTAAAGGATATTTTAGACACAACCCATGATCGTGTAGCCCAAAAAGGCAAAAACACAACAAACATATGTGGAGTCAATGTCGCTATACACACGCATAAAATCGAAATTCAAACACGAGACGATGCCACGCGGTTGATATAAAAAAGATGAAAACGTTGCTTTGCTTTTGCATATCAAAGGCTTCTTACTATTTATATATATATATATATATATATATTATATATATATATATATATTATATATATATATATATATATATATATACGTTATATCCGGAATATATGACGGGAAGCTACGTCTATATTACGTTAGTCACAGGTTCAAACTTATTCATTCTTTTCTAAAATTTGAGATCGTATAAAGCATAGCCATTTTTGAACCGAGATGGTCCTTGGTCTTGTGCACAATTTTGGTTGTCACCGGAGCGTGCTGGTAAAGGACAATACCAATTGTGTGGTGGCAGCCGAAGTGATCTCCTATGGGAGTGTGTTGAGTCCAATTGTTGGCGAACGGAAGAGTTTTACTGAGGCGAGGTCTGAGGGGTCTTTTTGTTCATCCA